TGTTATGGCTACATAGTATGTGACTCCTTACAATCCCCCCTCCCATTTTCCCACAGTAGAAAATGCATAGTAGAATAATAGAAAGTGTGGCTGGCCAAAGACCCAAAAGAAAAGATGGTTGCAGGCCTGACACGTACATTCGCAAGAATATTTTTTTTAATTTTTGTTTTCATAGCCCTATTGGGTTTTTTTTCCCCTGCTTTTGACTAATATGAGTTCTCTTCTTGAATGCCCGTGCTTGCTTCCTGCTGAGGAAAATATGGGTTATCTTCCTCCTGCAAAAGGCTCTGTCTTGATTTGTTACATTTGAATCACCAGAGGCTCGGCCCGGTATTTATTCTGCTTGTAGCTCATGGAGTGAGTAGGGCACTCTATGGGGATTGATGATTTTGACTCACGAGTTTTGGATTAAATGGACTTTTGCTCTATTAAGCTTCTATAAATCTGAGAAACCAAACCTGAGAACAGAATGAAAAATGTGGCTTCGCTTGCTTCGCTTCCTTCATTGATTTCTGTGGAATCTTTTCTTTTCAAACAGTTCTTATAAAGAGATCTGATCTGATTTGGAAAATGTTCCTAGTGTGAAAAACAAAACACCAGTTATTTATTGTTTACAATGGAATCAATTTTGATTAATTATTAGTTGTTTATTATTTACCATGGACATTTTTAATGGCTAATGGAGGTCTTTGTTATCTATTTTGTGAACTGCTGTGTATCTCTGTGTATTTGGCAATATTCAAGATGAACAAGTAAAAGTAGTATAAATAAATAAAATGTTGGAATATAATAAGAACATCCATTATGGAAATATCTTAAAATCACCAATTCTCAGTGTTCTAATCCTGATTCGACATTAAGGCAAGACAAGTGTCTGGTCCCTTGGAGATTTGTCATATTCAAATATATTAGACAACATTTCTCTTTATTTAATATTCTGGAAGTATAATTAGCTTCGGTGAGAATTAGCTTAGATCAGCTTCGGTGGCGCAGTGGTTAGAGTGCGGTACTACAGTCTACTTCTGCTGACTGCCAGCTGCCTGCAATTTGGCAGTTCAGATCTCACCAGGCTCAAGGTTGACTCAGCCTTCCATCTTTCTGAAGTTGGTAAAATGAGGACCCAGATTGTTGGGGCCCATGTGCTGACTCTGTAAACTGTTTAAAGAGGGCTGTAAAGCAGTATATAAGTCTAAGTGCTATTGCTATGGGTAGTGTTGTTACATGTAAATATAAATATTTACATTATTAAGGCCGGATACTTGGCCAGGACAACTGTGTGTCTTATTTTAGTATAACATAAAAATTCCTTGAAATTGAACTTCACTCATGGTGATTTCGTGTTTTCTTGACACAAAATAAATTTTCTTGCCATATTGCCTGATCAAAACCTGTCACATAATTGGCACTTAGGTGTTTGAGTGCAATTTTTTTTCTTATCTAGTGGTTTCAGGTGTCAGGAAACTCATTCAAATGCCTTGTTGATTATTCAGAAAAAGTGTTGTCAAATATTACACAAATCCAATGAAACAACTTTTTTAAATGTTGTGTTGCAGCAATTTTTTTTTCAATCACCAAGAACAACACCTCTGAAGGATTAAAACGATCTTTGATTATTTTGACAGGTCCTAACTGGTGATGCAGGGGAAGATGCTGAGTGCCATGCAGCCAAGCTCTTAGAGATTATTATACTGCAATGCAAAGGAAGAGGTATTGATCAGGTAATTATTGACTGCATTTTTTTTTCTTTGCCTGGATTGTAAGCATTAGCTGGAATTTTGGAGACCTGTATGTCTGAGAAAGCGATGTGGTGGATCAGTGGCTAAGATGCTGAGCTTATCAATCGGAAGGTCAGCAGTTCAGCGGTTCGAATCCCTAGGGCCGCATAACGGAGTGAGCTCCCATTACTTTTCCTAGCTTCTGCCAACCTAGCAGTTCGAAAGCATGCAAAAATTCAAGTAGAAAAATAGGAACCACCTTTGGTGGGAAGGTAACAGCGCTCTGTGCACTGTTACCTTCGGCATTTAGTCATGTCGGCCACATGACCACGGAGACGTCTTTGGACAACACTGGCTTTTTGGCTTTGAAATGGGGATGAGCACCACCCCCTAGAGTTGGGAACATATATGTGCGAGGGGAACCTTTATGTCTGAGAAAAAGAATTTAGATGGAATGAAGCTTGCGCTATGTAGACAGACATTTTTTTAAAAAAAGTTTTTCCCCCCCATAATCACTCTTACATCATTAAACTTACAGTGTGTGTCATCTGGGTGCAATCTTTGTGTCATCATATTTAACAGTTATATCATTTTAATCTATTTTTATCTTACCTTTACATTTCAGTTGCCTTTTAATTCAACTCCTCTATAATTCTGTGTTCTTTTTCAAATTATTCATTTTCTGTTTCTTTTTGTTTATATTGATTTTCTATCCAGTGATTAAAACACCCCCATATCTTATAATACTCTGATTCTTCCTTCTCTTTAATTGCCAATGTTAATCTGTTCATTTCTGCACAGTCTAATATTTTTTTAATTACCTCTCCCTCTGAGGGATTTTTTTCCATTTTCCAATGTTGTGCAAATACAATTCTAGCTGCAGTTATTACATGAATAATTAAACATACATTTTCTTTACTATATTTCTCTGGTAAAACACCCAACAAAAATGGTTCCAGTTTTAAATCAATATGCTGCTGTATCATCCTTTCCAACCACATAAGAATTTATGCCCAATATTTTTTTGCCTCTGCACATGTCCACCACATAAGATAATATGATCCTGGCTTCTGGTGGCACTTCCAGCACTTGTTGATTTATCTTTAAACATTTTTGCCAATCTTCCCAGTGACATTTTTTTCCCTTTTGGGATGAATGGGATTGTCTCATATACAGAATCCAGCTTGGTTTGAAAAGAATTCTTTTTTCTTCCCTTCTCTCTTGTTTCAGCCATCAGGGAAGTGGGGTTGGTTTGAATTTTTTCTGGTGTGCCTTTCCTCAGTCATAGTTCAATAACAATAGAAAATTTAAACTTAACTGCAGTACAAGGATCTGCAGACCGAGGGAAAGATTGCCGAAGAGTTCCACAGATGCATGAAAGGGCGTCTTCAGCTGAGTGAAAATAATGTTCCATTTGCTCTTAAAGCATCTTAGAATAGAATAACAGAGTTGGAAGGGACCTTGGAGGTCTTCTAGTCCAACCCCCTGCTTAGGCAGGAAACTCTACACCACTTCAGACAAATGGTTATCCAACATCTTCTTAAAAACTTCAGGTGTTGGGGCATTCACAACTTCTGGAGGCAAGCTGTTCCATTGATTAATTGTTCTGTCAGGAAATTTCTCCTCAGTTCTAAGTTGCTTCTCTCCTTGATTAGTTTCCACCCATTGCTTCTTGTCCTACCCTCAGGTGCTTTGGAGAATAGCTTGACTGCCTCTTTTTTGTGGTAGTCTCTGAGATATCAGAACACTGCTATCATGTCTCTAAGGCTGCAGGACTTCCCAAATGGGGGGCCTTCACTTCTTGACAATATTTATTAACAAGAGGGCAAAACACGATGGAACTGTTTCATGACACCCTTGAAAAGTTAAGCTAGTTTGGATCACTTGAAAACTCTCGAAACATGGCTTAGCTTTGGCTCTACAGAGGGTGGGAATTATTTTTTCTTTTAACATCCTTATACCAAAGATGTTAGTGGCTTCTCCTTAAGAGTCTCTATATAGGCAATAAGAGGAGTGTCACTTATTCTCTTAAACCAGAGGTCCCCAAACTTGGCAACTTTAAGACTTGTGGACTTCAACGCCATATAGAGGAATATATTAAACAGTGACTTACTGCTCTAGCTAATCAGCAAGATTGAGAAGATGTTGAAAGTGTGAAGGAGACTCTGGCGGGACAAACTAGGGAAAGAAGTAGTCACGTAGTTAGGGGAAGAACTGAGGAGGTCACAAGTTGGAGGCTTCCTACCCACACTACTTGCTCTTCATTTGATGAGGAGGTGTTTATTTTCTGCGTTCACCCATCAGATGGCGCTCAAGGTTTGAAAATGAAACCCAAATGCTGCTACGAGAGGTTCACAAGTAAGATCGAGAGAGTTCAGAATGGAACCTAGAGCTTGCCGTTGTTTTGGGATATAGTGGCTATATCCCGCTATATGTGAATCCTAAGGGACGCGGTGGCTCAGTGGCTAAGACGCTGAGCTTGTCAATCAGAAAGGTCGGCAGTTCGAATCCCTAGCACCGCGTAACGGAGTGAGCTCCCATTACTTGTCCCAGCTTCTGCCAACCTAACAGTTCTAAAGCATGTAAAAAATGGGCAAGTAGAAAAATAGGAACCACCTTTGGTGGGAAGGTAACAGCGTTCTGTGAGCCTTCGGCATTTAGTCATGCCAGCCACTTGACCACAGAGGTATCTTTGGACAGTGCTGGCTCTTGGGAAACAGAGATGAACACTGCCCCCTAGAGTCGGGAACAACTAGCGCACATGTGCGAGGGGAACCTTTACCTTTTAACCTGAATCCACATTATATATAACCAGGATTATATTGTCCAGTACATCTGGACAAAGCACATGAGATTGCCAAGTGAGGAATGTTAGGTTTGGCCTATATTACATGAATATTAATAGAATTTATTTTTTTTAAAAAAAGATGCTAATCAAGGTTGAATAACCAGAAGAGTTTGATTTGTTTCTACTTGGTGCCCTTCTTTTTCCCTTTTAAAAGAATTTCCTAACCATGGGGTGGAGCAGAAAGGAGAGTGCTACTTCACTTCCTGACCTCTGACAATCTTACACAAGAGTTCCTCTTGCTTCTGGTATTTCCTGTAATAAATCCCAACAGTGATTATCAACAGTGCCTTTAAAAAAAGGGGGGGGAGAGAGGGAGGGAAGGGAAAGAAAGAGAATTCTGTAGCCAGTATCCCATCCAGTATTACAAAACATATATACCCTCTTTCCCTGAAAATAAGACCTCTTCGGATAATAAGCCCAATCTGGCTTTTGAGCGCATGCACTAAAATAACCCCTCGCTTGAAAATAAGCCCTCCCCCAAAATATTGCAACACAGCAGCAGCCATGAGCTGACCACGCTTGCCGCCTCCTGCACCTCAAAAATAAAAAGACCTCCCCAAAAATATGACCAAGTGCTTATTTTGGAGGGGGGGGGGTTTCAAAAGAAAATAAGATCCTGCCTTATTTTCAGGGAAACTCGGCATCCCTCAAGGTCATTTAAGAAAGTGTGTACTTTGAAAACAGAATTGTAACTGTTTTCAACCAGGGTTCTGAATCCTGTTTTGAATAGGCTCAGTATCTGAAATATTTCAACTTATTTCTCCCCGTATCTCTCTTCTCCCCTTAGTGCATCCCTCTGTTTGTAGAAGCTGTGCTTGAGCGCTTAACGCGAGGGGTTAAAACCAGCGAGCTCCGCACCATGTGCCTCCAGGTTGCCATTGCTGCCCTCTACTACAACCCTGAGCTTCTTTTGCACACTTTGGAGAACATCCGGTTTCCTCATAACCCAGAGCCTATCACTGCGCAGTTTATAAACCAGTGGATGAACGATACAGACTGTTTTCTTGGGTAGGTGTGCGATGCGCTCTTTTTCGACACCTTCGGGAGTTCGGGAGACCTTGGAGAGGAAATGCCAGGATTGTCTTGCTTTCCTGCCTGCCCCTAAGGTGTGCGATTGTAGCATGAAATACCACATAGTAACCTTTGGAACAGCATGACAAAATAGAATTGATGTGCTCCTCTTCGGAGTAAGATTCTGTGCACGAAGCTACAGCTTGAGGTCTTCATTTTGCTTGAATTTAGCCATGATGATGTCAAATTCAGAAGGAAAGCACATACATTAACATAATCTAGCCAAATCAAATCAAGATATTTAAAACCGTAATGCATTTAAAATGGGAGACTTTTACAGTTGGTTTAATACACGTATTTTATGGGGAATTGGATGAGTTTCGTGAGTTGGGCAACTTGTCATTGGCACTTATTACTGATTGTACATGACACTAAATATATGTTTTGTCTTTAAAAAGTAAATTACTTTGTACAGGTAGTCCTCAACTTCACAATCACAATTGAGCCTAAAATTTCTGTTGCTCTGCAAAGCATTTGTTAAGTGACTTTTTGCCCCATTTTACGACCTATTCCCCTCCCCCACAGTTGTTAAAGGAATCACTGCAGTTTTTAAGTTGGTAACACAGTTAAGTGAATCTGCCTTTCCCACCGACTTTTCTTGTCAGAAGTTTGCAAAAGGCGATGGCATAAATATGAATCAGTTGCCAAGCATCTGAATTTTGATCATGTGACCGTGGGGATGCTGCAACAGTCATAAGTGTGAAAAATGATCATAACCCACTTTTTTCAGTGCCACGGTAACTTCAAACGGTCACTAAATGAACTGTTGTAAATCGAGGACTGCCTGTATTTTATTTTCTAAGTCCTGTTTCCCTGGAAAATAAGCCCTCCCTGGATAATAAGCCCTCCCCGAAAATATTGCAACACAGTAGCAGAAGCCATGTGGTGACTGCACTCACCGCCTCCTGCACCTCAAAAATAATAAGATCTCTCTGGTAATTTGAACACATAATGTTCAATGACAGCGAAATATTCAGTTATGTTTAATGCAAAACCTGTGATGTTATTCTTAATCTTAAGAATTGATGCACAAAAACTTGTAACCAAACGACATGCTTGATGAAATGGAGGAAAGCTGTTGTTTTTTTCTTGCTTTTATTTTGTATGTGTTGTTTTTTTTTTTTAAGAAAAAGGAATAAAAATATATATTAAAAATAATAATAATAATAATACCTCCCCTAAAATAAGGTCAAGTGCTTACTTTGGGGGCCAAGAGAAAATAAGACCCTGTCTTATTGAAACACGAGATATAGATATGGATGGATGGATGGATGGATGGATGGACGATAGATAGATAGATAGATAGATAGATAGATAGATAGATAGATAGATAGATATCACACTCACACACACACACACACACACAGATTTGGAGGGGGGGCAGGCTCAGTGTCTGCTTCTCACAATGTTAAGAAACATCCTAGTTGAGTACAGTAGGTCTCTTTGGAAAAGAATATTGTGGTATTGTCATTAAAAGAGCTGTGACTAGGGCCTCATTGTTCTCAATTATATAGCTAAAGCCTAGAGTTTTAGCTATATAATTTTCCAAGTCGCTTTTAAATGACAGGGACATCCATTCAGGATTCTCCCTAAAAGCCTCCGTAACTACCTTCTCAAGTGAGTATCCATCAGATGTTTCTGACCCCATGTTTCACAATCCTCGCCTAACTTACAGAAAGCTATTCTGTTGGGAAGATTAATTCTCACCAGTGAATTGTGTACCTTCAGGCTTCATGACAGGAAGATGTGCATCATCGGACTGAGCATCCTCATGGGGCTGCCCTCTCGACCCCCTGCAGTGGACGCTGTGGCTGCCCAGATTGTCCCCTCGGTTCTCCTCCTATTCCTGGGACTAAAGCAAATGTGCGCCACCCAGCAACATACAGAACACGAAGAGCACGGGAAAGCTGAAAAGAACGATGCCGAAGATAATGGTACGAGAAAATATCAGTTTCCTGGCTTTTTTGATAAGCATTTATTAACAGCATGCTACTTATAATTCAATTCACTTGTGCTTAGCAATAGCACTTAGACTTATACTCTCTAAGCAATTTACAATATCGGCATATTAATTGGGGGTCTTCCTTTTACCCACCCCAGAAAGATGGAAGGCTGAGTCAACGTTGAGTCCGTCAGGATTGAGGGATTCGAACCCTGGGCAGTAAGCAGAGTTAGCCTGCAATACTGCATTCTAACCACTGTATCACGATGGCCCAAGATTGACTTGAGGCTTAAAGGGAAGATATTTGCATTTCCCAAATAGTTTTGAATATTCCCAAGCAGTTTCCCCTACAGGAAAATTTTAGATCAAACTAGCCAAGACGTTATTCACTTAACTGCAACTTTTTGTGTGTGTATAGAACTTTATTCTTTCAACACCAGTCCCTTAGCTGTGAGACAAAATAGTTGTCTTATTTTAAAGGACAAGTGTGTTATTATCCCCATAATGGCACACCTGATACACTCCTCAATCTAGCTTTCTCTGGAAAAGGTTATTTCAAAAGTGGTCAACCATTGAGAGCTGTATTAATCAGAAGTGACTTTCCCCATAAACTAGCCTTCCTCAGTTTAAAAAAAAACAACAATTTGTTTTCATGATCAATCTATATCAAGATATAAAACAGCTTGCCTTCAGAAGTTGTGAATGCCCCAACACTGGAAGTCTTTAAGAAGATGTTGGATAGCCATTTGTCTGGAACGGTATAGGGTTTCCTGCCTAGGCAGGGGGTTGGACTAGAAGACCTCCAAGATCCCTTCCAACTCTGCTATTGTATTCTATTGTAAGATGGTAATTTAAACAATGTTTGTCCATAGGGTACTCCCTGGAGGAGTCATTAATTTTGAAATGGTGCTTTTGGTTAAAAATATACATCTTTGTCTCCCTTGTCTTTGTTCTTGTTTTTAAAAAAAACATATTTGCAGAAGAGATTCCAAGTGATGAAGAGGAAGTGAATGAAACAAATCAGGACATGCAGGAGAACCATGCTGGTGGCGGTGGCGATACAGGGGATGATGATGATGATGATGACGATGATGAAGACTGGGATGATGAAGCATTAGAAGAAACTGCTTTAGAAGGCTTCAGCACGCCTATTGATCTAGAGGATGGTGTGGATGAATATCAGTTCTTCACACAAGCATTGTTAGGTATAGATGCTTATTACAGTGCTTCTGATTTTTCTAAGATTGCTATTATGTTTAGATTTTTTTTTAAAAAACCCAGCTGATTTGGAAAAAAAAACTAATTTCAATTAGTTGGATAACATTAGTTTTATAACTGCTACATCAGGAGTGGAAAACCTGTAGCATTGCCAGGATTATTGAAATAATAATTCAACAATAATTATTGAAATACAACAGCAGTGCTAGTTCTATCTGATGACAGTTGGAGGCCAGCAACATCTAGAGCAGTGGTGGTGAAACTTTTTCACCTCGGGTGCCAAAAGCACACACACAGGCATGCCCACCCCCATAATCTAATGCCCCCCACGCTGTGCCCCCTGTGCATGCGCGCATGACACACACACCCCCGCTGCCCCGCACATGCACGCATGCCTCCCTGGAGGCCCTCCGGAGGCCAGAAACAGCACATTTTCTGATTTCTGGTGGGCCCAGTAGGTCCGTTTTTTGCCCTCCCCCAGGCTCCAGAGGCTTTCTAGGAGGCTGGGGAGGGCTAAAAATGGCCTAAAAGCAAGGGCGAAAAACAGCTGGCCAGCACGCGCATGCACGCTGGAGCTGACATGGCAATGCCTCGCATGCCCTCAGAAATGGCTCCATGTGCCATCTGTACCATAGTTCACCATCACAGATCTAGAGGATTCCAGTGTTTTCCATGGGGGGGGGGGGGACAAGATTAACCAGTATTCAATAAAAAATTCAGCTCATTAAATATCAATCATCAGCCAGATGTACAAAAGTCTGTTATATTCAGGGTAATCATAATCACAAACTCTTGCTATGAATCTCGGAGGCTGGCTCTGGGTAAGTCCTTCTCAGCTAATTGCTACTTTTGTTTGTCCTTCATAATTTGTTTATTTTTGTTTTGTTTTATTTTATTTCATTTATACAATTCCCATCTCACTACCCAAAGCTATAATTAAGCACTCGGAGAACTTAAGAATGACAGCAAGATATAATACTATTTATAAAAGAGTTCATGTTTCTAGAAATAAAGCTGTTGGAAGAACTGAATGGTTAATGGAGATCAGTCACTAAGAATATTAAAACCGTCCATCTCACACACAGCAGAAACCTCGGCTCAGTGTATATACTCCCTTTAAAAGTAGGTCTCTCTGCTTGAGAAAATAGTGATTTAACGATATAGACTGGGAATTTGGCAAGTTGCACGTCCCATGAAAGAAATGTATTCTGTGTTTTCAGCTGTACAAAGCCGAGATGCTGGCTGGTACCATTTGTTGACTAGACCACTCAGCGCTGATCAGAAGACCCAGTTGCAGGAAATCTGTGCATTAGCTGAACTCCGGAGAAACTCTGCAGGTCTGTTGCCAGGATGTTTGCAGAAAGCTTCACAAGCTAAAGTCTATCAACAGGAACTCTCCGTTATTTGCAGCCCTGTAAAATAATCTAAACTGTCCCAAGTTAGTTTTGTTTGTGTGTTTGTCTGTTATGAGAAGTTTTTTTTAAAAAAATATATTGTTTTTTCATGTGGACATTGTTTCATGTGGAAGCTTTGGGAGGTGTGGGGCGGCCCGTCACATACTTTTTACTCCTTTTAAGAGAACAAGAGCAGATGCTTTGGGAAGCAAAATAATGAATCCACAGTGAGTCAGAATCAGAATAGAGATGGAAGGGACCTTGGAGGTCTTCTTGTCCAGCCCTCTGTTCAAGCAGGAGATCTTATACCAGGGATGGCTCGCCTTTTTGTCCGTGCGTGCTCACAACAGGCTTACAGAGCCGAGGTGGCGCAGTGGTTAGGGTGCAGTACTGCAGGCCACTTCAGCTGACTGTTATCTGCAGTTCAGCAGTTCTAATCTCACCGGCTCAAGGTTGACTCAGCCTTCCATCCTTCCGAGGTGGGTGAAATGAGGACCCAGACTGTGGGGGCGATATGCTGACTCTGTAAACCGCTTAGAGAGGGCTGAAAGCCCTATGAAGCGGTATATAAGTCTAACTGCTATTGCTATTGCTATTGCTATTGCTATCTATCTATCTATCTATCTATCTATCTATCTATCTATCTATCTATC